GTTATCCTTATCGTGATTATTTTTTTTTTTTTTTTTTTTTTTTCAATCAAATTCACCTCAAGCAAGGCATTAAAATTACTAAGACACAAGAGTTTCTAGATGTAGAAGAATTAGAAAACAGAAACATTGCTAAGGAGTGAGAACAATAGAAGAGTAATAAGGGAAACACTAGATAGCAATTGACTGTAATGAAATTAATGGTATATAGAACTTTTTTTTTTTTAAAATCATATGAAAATATTAATATTAATGGCGGTTTTCTTCATAACCTTTTCTTTGAAGTAGTGTGGAATGCTGTCAACATTTTGATTGTGTTACTACCAGGAAAATGTTGTATTTGAATTTTTCAAGATCAAAGTTGACTAGAAAACAAGAAGTAGGAAGAGAATTCCACAAGCGAGAGGTGTGTGAGAAACAAAACTGTTAGGATAGAACTTATGGTTACATATAGCAAATGCAATTGTAAAATAATGAGACCTAGCTTCCAATCTAGTACTGCACTTAAATTTGTAAAATGAATTGTTAAAGGGAAAATCTGATCAGAACAATTACTGAGAAAATATAGAAAAAATGCCAGAAAGTCCACATTATGATAGTGGGGGATGTGACTGAAGGTGAGGGGAAAACAATCTTTGACTGATTTATTTATTTTATATATATGAGAGAGAGAGAGTTAATGAAATTATTTGGTAATCCGTATGGATAATTACAAGGAGGATGTAATCCAGTGAGCTCAATGTGAAAACGGAGCAAATAATAATTATATTAAGAAGCAGATGGACCAAGTACAGCTTCCATAAAAAGAAAACCCATATACAGTGTCACCCGGATATAAGAGAGTTGTCGGGACCGGAGAAGAAGTCTCTTATATCCGGGTTTCTCTTATATCCGGGTTTGATCTATTTTATATACATTAGCACAGGCTCTAATTTGGGACCAGAGAAAATCTCTCTTATATCCGGGTTTCTCTTATATCCGAGTTTGGTCTATTTTATATACATTAACACAGGCTCTAATTTGGGACCAGAGAAAATCTCTCTTATATCCGGGTTTGGTCTGTTTTATATACATTAACACAGGCTCTAATTTGGGACCAGAGACAATCTCTCTTATATCCGGGTTTCTCTTATATCCGGGTTTGATCTATTTTATATACATTAACACAGGCTCTAATTTGGGACCAGAGAAAATCTCTCTTATATCCGGGTTTGATCTATTTTATATACATTAGCACAGGCTCTAATTTGGGACCAGAGAAAATCTCTCATATCCGGGTTTGGTCTATTTTATATACATTAGCACAGGCTCTAATTTGGGACCAGAGAAAATCTCTCTTATATCCGGGTTTGATCTATTTTATATACATTAGCACAGGCTCTAATTTGGGACCAGAGAAAATCTCTCTTATATCCGGGTTTGATCTATTTTATATACATTAGCACAGGCTCTAATTTGGGACCAGAGAAAATCTCTCTTATATCCGGGTTTGGTCTATTTTATATACATTAGCACAGGCTCTAATTTGGGACCAGAGAAAATCTCTCTTATATCCGGGTTTCTCTTATATCCGGGTTACACTGTATTTTAAAAGAATATGGTTTCTCTTCAGTGTGTTTTTGCATGTGGTGACTCAGAATGTGTTTTTAAAACACTTTATGTCCACAGATGTTACAAGATCATTTTTCTGGTTAATTTTCTGCATTTCCTTTTATTACGTTTTAAGGTGACAAATCAGAAGCAGATTATATCTGTCTTTATTAAGATAAGAGACCTGATATGTCAACCTATTCATCAAGTCTTTTTACAGGGAAAAAAACAAAGAAGGAGAGGAAAATAGACAAAGAAAAGTAGGTGAAGAAAAGAGATAAGACAGAATAGAAAACAAATATGGAAATAGGGTTGGGGGGGGGGAGAACAAATTATCATAGAGGCAATACTCCAGCAAAATTTAAGATTACAGATTAATACAATTTACAATTAAAACACTAGATATTATTTTAAAGAATACCAATGATGATAAAAGTAACATAAAACTAATATTATTAATAACAACTAACAATTACAAATTAAAATTTAAAAAAACATTTTTGAAAAAAATACTAATAACAACAATAATAATACTAATAAAAGTAATAATAATGTTGCTTTGTAAACTTATTCTAAGAGAAAATTATGAAAAATAAATTTAAAAGAAAAATTCATATGTATGCATACATGCATACGTATATACACACACATATTCTATTAAGAGTCAGCAAAATTGACAGAAAATATAATTTTTCAGAGGTAGATAGTAATAGTAATACAAATGAAGGAAATAACAACATAGTAATAATGAAAATGATAATACTGGATCAGTTATAGTATATTCATTCATATATACCAGAACACACACACACACACACATATCTATATACACATATACATATACATAGATAACTACACATATACATATACATAGATAACTACACATACACATATACATATACATAGATAACTACACATATACATATACCTAGATATCTACACATATACCTAGATATCTACACATATACATACATATACCTAGATATCTACACATATACATACATATACCTAGATATCTACACATATACATACATATACCTAGATATCTACACATATACATACATATACCTAGATATCTACACATATACATACATATACCTAGATAACTACACATATACATACATATACCTAGATATCTACACATACATACATATACCTAGATATCTACACATATACATACATATACCTAGATATCTACACATATACATACATATACCTAGATATCTACACATATACATACATATACCTAGATATCTACACATATACATACATATACCTAGATATCTACACATATACATACATATACCTAGATATCTACACATATACATACATATACCCTAGATATCTACACATATACATACATATACCTAGATATCTACACATATACATACATATACCTAGATATCTACACATATACATACATATACCTAGATATCTACACATATACATACATATACCTAGATATCTACACATATACATACATATACCTAGATATCTACACATATACATACATATACCTAGATATCTACACATATACATACATATACCTAGATATCTACACATATACATACATATACCTAGATATCTACACACATATACATATATATATATATATATATATATATATATATATATATATATATATATATACATATATATATATATATATATATATATATATATATATATATATATATATATATATATATATATATATATATATATATATATATATATATATATATATATATATATATATATATATATATATATATATATATATATATATATATATATATATATATATATATATATATATATATATATATATATATATATATATATATATATATACATACATATATATATATATATATACACATACATGTCATTCCTCTGTAAGTGTTTTATTGCCAGCCTCTCAAGTTTTGTGATGTTTGATTTTGGGCAACTTGGCTTTATCCTGTATTTGTTTCACTTTCTATCTTAGTTCATCTGCTTGAGCTTGAGAAATCTTCAAGGCTATTTCCTTGTATCAGGAAATGAAGTGCAAGTATGATATCCGCTTGATGGTTGTTGCAAATTTGAGAGCCTTGTTTAGTACTGACTCTTCAGAGGCACTCAGTTGCTGTTTACTGACGTTGAGTTGTGAATTCAGTACAGCAGAGGTGAACAAAAAACTTAGAGAGTTGAGTTAAAAGGGAGATAACTGATACTGAGATATTCAGAAGAGGCATGACACGTGGAACTTGAACAATCTATCCTGATGGATGAAATAAAGTGTTCAGTTCAAAATTCCAATCACCCAATGAAGGCCAGAGCATACAGAGGTCAAAACATTGTGAATATGATATCAAAGATGAAGACAACAGTCCGAATAATGTAAATAGTGTAAATAAATCTTCCTTGTTGCCATAGTTAATGAAAGATATTTAAAAGAAAGGTTGCTGCCCAGATATAGCAACAGTTTGTTTCATGCAATCTTCATGGCCTGAATATTGTGTTCAAGCATGAAACAGATTGTCACCACTCATCCTTGATATCATTGTCCACACTTACATTTATGAACATTTTATCCTGGATAATGAGTACTTTTACTCCATAAATATAGAATACTTTAAAATTATATTTTATCTCTCTCACGTGCACACACATATATGGTATGAAATTGAATCTAGCATATATATATATATATATATATATATATATATATATATATATAAAAATAATGGAAATAAAAAGGACAAGACCAACTTTACTGTTCACAATTTTAAAAAAAATGGCTGCCTGGTTTCGCCCTCACATAACAGAGTTGAAATCGAGGGAATAAATGTTACAATATAAAATACATGTGTTAAAGGCAGAACAATCAGATTGAAATAACGTCAAGCCCTAACAGGCATTCCCTCTGTTTACAGAGGGCGGGCTGTCTGGACCTGACTTAGATTGTTTCTAATGCCTTCAAATGTAAGAAAGAATGAGCATGACTAAGGATGGTAAAAGAGTCAATGCTAAAATTGGTGACATAATTTGGATTATTTATAAAATGCTCCACAATGGCAAAACCATATGTGTTGTTGACCACGTCAACAATTTGGAATGTACCATTCCTAATTTTCCTAGGTACGTGCTGATGTATTCTCCTGTCTAGCTGTAGAGTAGTTCTACCTATATAGTCGGCTCCGCAACTACATCTAAATTGATAAATCACATTGTTAATATGGTGATAAATCACATTGTTAATATGGTGATAAATCACATTGTTAATATGGTAGAACATTCTTTCAAGTAGGCATCTATGCAGATCTGGTAGAAAAGACAATACATACATTAGCCAAAAAATAACAATTTTCAACTACAGAGCTAATTCATTTGGCAAATTTTCCACTTATTGTACCCAACCAAGGCAAACGCAAATAAATAGGGCACATAGTACTCGGTTTACGTTTAGAAAAATTAGAAATTTTCTTATTCATAACCAACTTAATTACATCCAAGGGGTACCAACTATTAGCAAAAGTTTTGGTAATTGTTTATAACTCATCATCTAATTTAGATTTTGAGCAAATCATTAAAGCTCTATGTGTTAGGGTACTGATTAAGTTTTCTTTTTTTTTTTCTTGGGACAGAATGCATCCCACCGAATATATAGTCGGATAAAGGTTGGTTTGCAGTAAATTGATGTGATATAACCAGATGGAGTTCTAGTTACCGAAACATCCAAAAAAAGATATAGTAGAATTGGTTTCAATTTACATTGTATAATTTAATGCTAAATATAATAATGTTACTAATAAAATTTTGTCTAAGATGTGTTTGTGGTGTTTTCAGATTTATGGTTAAGAATGATAACTTATTTTGTTCTAAAATTCCTAGTTCTCTGTTGGTTTCTTTTAGGTAATAATTGGTCCTGATGGCATGTGTGGATTGAATTATGAACATACATCGGCAGAAGGTCCTCCGATAATAACATTGTTAGATCATGTTCTTACTTATTGGTATGTATATATAACTAATTTTTAACTAAAATTCTTTTTTATTTTTTATTAGTAGGTTTTTTAGTTGGAAAGATTTTTTATTTTTGTAAAGAATATATTGCAATTTTATGTGAGTGAATTTTATCACATTTTTTTTTTGTCTTTAAATATTTTTTCATCCTTAAATAATATTTTTTATTAATTTTTTATTTTTTATTTTTTTCATCCTTAATTTTTTTCATCACTAAATAATATTTTCATTCTTAAATAATTTTTTCATCCGTATACAATTTCTTTTTCCTTTTTTTGAGTTGAAGTATTGTCAATATATTATATTTTTTCTAAAGAAATTTTATTCTATATGGTTTATATTTTATTTTATATTATATTATTATATATGATTATTATCAAAATTTTCTTTTTCATCCTTAAATAATTTTTTTCATCCTTCAATTTTTCCATTCTTAAATAATTTTCTTTCACCCTTAAATAATTTTTTTCATCACTAAATATTTTCTTTCATAAATAATTTTTTTTTAATGCTTAAATAATTTTTTCCTTTTTTAAAGCTGAATATTGTCAGTATATTGCATCTTTTGTTTTTTTCTAAAGAAATTTTATACTATACAATTGATTATTATCAAGATTTTCTTTTAACTCCTTAAATAATATTTTTGTTCATAAAAAATTTTTTCATCCTTAAATAAATTTTTTTTCATTCTTAAATAATTTTTTTTTCATTCTTAAATAATTTTTTTTTTCATTCTTAAATAATTTTTTTTTCATTCTTAAATAATTTTTTCATCCTTAAATAAATTTTTTGTCTTTTTTTTTTTTTTTAGCTGAAGTATTGTCAATATATTGTTTTTTTTTTGTTTTTTTTTCTAAAGAAATTTTATACTATACAATTAATTTTTTATCAAGATTTTATTTTCCTCTTTAAATGTTCTTTTTATTTTTTTGAGCCAAAGTATTTTCAGTATATTGATTTATTTTTTTTAACATGTATATTTTGCTTCTATACTATACAATTTATTTTTATCAATATTTTCTTTTTCATTCTTAAATATATTTTTTTGATGAGTAATTGTCAAAATATTGACAGTTCCTCACCTAAAATAAAAAAAAAGTAAATAAGTAAAAAGAAATGATCAAAATGCATCACTACCATTATAATAAAATATTGAAAATATCTCACATTAGATCTGAAAACTCCCAAGTGAAAAAACAAAAACACTGATGTCCTTTACAAGGACAGTATAGTTGATAGAGGTTTTCTTTAACCAGAAGTTACTGTCAATTAGTGGTCATGAGTTCAAACCCTGTGTAAGATAGTGAAATTGACAGGAGCAAATAAGAAAGAGTATCACAGGGACAATAGTAACAAAATAATCAACACATACAATAGGTCTAATATTACTGAAAATAACGGATAATGATGATGGCCAGAGGGTACTTGGTTGAAACGTTGTATATAGTAACATTTATAATAGTCAAAGATGAGAATTGAATAAATATCACCTTTAAATAGGTTTAACAATTGTTTTTTGTTAGTTTAAACTAGTCTCCTATTCTTTTTTTTTATTTACTACTAGCAGTAGGGCCTGGCGTTGCCCGGGGATGTAACAGTAAGAGATAGATCAAGTATCGACCATAATAAAAACTGAAAAATAAAATTGACAAAGATTATTGTTTAAGGTTGACGGACACGCATGTCTTAATTAGTTTTTTTTTTTTGTTTTTTTTTTACGAATTGGTCAAACCCAGACTCAAACAAAGACATTGTTTTCAATCATTATGAGTTTATCAATTGAATAGAATTTTATTAAAAACAATTGTCTTGTAAATGGAATTTTTAAAGCATTCTGAATGTAAAAATAAAGAAAAAAGTGTGCAAGACAATAAGAAACATTACCTGCCAAAAAAAAAAAAAAGTGAAGTTTTGTTGAAATCGGATGAAAAACGTAGGAAATCCAATCCCGCATATAAACGAACACACACACACAAACAACCTGGGTTTTATAATAAGTATAACTCGATATGAGTTGTCCCCCTTTCATTCTGGCGACAGAATCGTGTTTTATCATGTATTCAAATTGATTTCATGCAAAAACAATTGTTTTTCCAATTTTTGGCACTGTCAGAACCACCACTAGGTAATATTTTATGTAGTCCTGTGAAGTTTTGTTGAAATCGGTTGAAAAATGTAGGAAATCCGATCCAATATATAAGCGTACAGACACACACACACACAATCTGCGTTTTATAATAAGTAAGATGAAGAAATATTGCAAAGCTGTAATCTGTTCAGATATTTTCAAATCGGATATGACGCATTGTGTATAGAGCAGGGGTGTGTAAACTGTGAACATGCGTAGTGATTTTGCACAGTTGCAAGAGTACAACAAACAATCTATTTAGATGCTTGTGAAAAAATTTAGGTATTTTTTGGTTCCATATCGCACAAAATAGTAATCTATTCAAAACCAAGAGAAAAGAAAAGAAAACAAAGACTGAAAACATTTATATTTAATAGTGAACTCCGAGTTTCGGGAAAATCATGTCCTAAAAAAATCAACACATCGCATTATGCACAATCACAGACAATTAAGTTACTACATCTTATACTGTGTTGATATCAATGACCAGTCATCGGCACAATGTAAATTGGTATATGGATCTAGGTGCCTGTGTGTACATGGTGTTCTAGGTGCCTATGTGTATGGGGTAGGGGTCTAGTTGAACATAAGAACAAACTGACACACACATAGAATTCATGGTTGCAATCCAAGCAAATTCTTAATGTTCCCAGTAAGTTAATAAAAGTTGGTTTATTATGTGTTAAAATACGCCTGTCTTTTATTTTCATACGTTTTGTTCTTCCAACAGCCTGGGATATAACAGTACCTCAACAGTTTTCCTCACCAGAATCTGCCTACCATTTGTCCATAAATTGAATATTACTGTCACAATTGGTCTGGTGTCTCTGCTATGCATTAAGAGATTTTGATAAAATGCTGTGTTATCAATCCTGATCTGGTATCTTGGCTTCAATCACTTTCTTCCTGTCGTACCTCAACTTTAGGAATTTAAGTGCTGCACTAGATTTTCAGCCTAGTTTCATCATTTCACAGTTGAAATTGCAAGATTTAACTATAAGTTCTCACTGTGGAGCTCTCTTCTAGATTTTTGCTTTCCAGCCAACTTTGATCTTCAAAAATTTAAATGTAGGTACCTCCACTTTTTTGCTGAAAAACAGCATAGCATGATGAAAAAAGGCCCCAAACTTTGTAAAAACAAAGTTTTATTATCAATGTGTTTGTTATTATTAAGAGGAAAGACTAAAGTATTTTTAATTATTTAAAAAAAAAATTTAACCCTTTCTAGCATGTTTGAAATTTTTGTTAAAATTTTTTTTTTTTTTTTATACATCAGCAGTTAACATTAATTTACAATTAGCATTTTTGCACTTTTTTTCCAGTGAAAAACGCATTCATTTTGAAATTCTTGCAAAAATCAAATAATTGTTGGATTTTAATTAAATTTTCAGGATATATTCAGAAATGAATTAAATTATTTTTGAAATTTTTTTTTTTTTAAAATTTTGGTAAAAATTTTTTTTTTTTTATGTATGTTACCCCCCACTTACTTAATTTCATGAAATTTTGGGAAATTAAATTTTAATCCCAAAATTTGTTTTATTAGTTAAAAGCAGGACTCCTTGGAGAATGTAAATCATTTTTTTTTTCTAACTACTAATCATTTCTCAAAAATCTGCTCCAGACATAAAATAAAAAATACAATAAAACTATGACATTATTTAATTAGAAAAACTTTTAATTGTTTTATGAGTTATATTTATTAAGGACATTATTGTCTTAAGAAAAAAAAAATTGCTGAATAATGAATCCTTGCAAGAATCGTTTTCATTTTTTTAAATTTTAATTATAATAATTGTTAATATTATAAATCGTTTAAAATTCTACATTATTCAATCCAGTTAGGTGATATTCTTATTAAGTGAAAACTATATTTACAAATCAAAATATGAAAAGCTCAATAAAAGTTGTTAACACTCAATATTTTTCTTTTTTTTAAATTTTAATTTTTTTATGTATACGTAATGTGCCCCTGTTTTAAAGTATGGTGACACATACATGACATTATCAGAAAATAAGAGCAATTGAGTAAAAAATAAGTAAAATATATGAGAGATTATTTAAATAAAACTACACTTTCTCTTGTTTAACTTGAGTAATCTGCAAATTCCAATTTATTTCTCAATTAACAAACCCCTCCATTTACAATTTCTCATCAAGTTTATATGGATGGGTGTTCCTGCATGTACTTTTGGTGGGCAACCCCCAGGCTGCATATGACTTAAGCTTAGACACCTTTTGGCCAGTTTGTATTGCCATAGAAGATGGACAGTGATAATTATTTTGGCCTTTTTCTCCTGAAAACATAATTTTGTTCTCTCTCCTTAATGTTTTCTTTTTCTCATATTCTCTCACACTCATTCTAAGACACAGTGGCTTTATTTCCTTTCATGCGGTACAAAATAGTAATCTGGAAAAAAAAAAGAACAAACCATATATATGTAATACTCATTTTATTTTCATTAAACAAAAATCCCAAAAAAGGTGTCCGCTAAGAGATTTGAATCTGCAATCAGTCTTATGTATATTGATGAGTAAACAGAAACCTGAATGTAAAAAATTTGACAAAGATTCCTTTCACCTCCACAAATCTTATTAATAGTCATAAATGTATTAAGTGTACTTCCAAAAGCTAAGCAAAGTATTAAGAAACGGGAAAATTTCATTAAAAACAAAGAAAAGACTACTGAACTGTTACATAATGTCAGTCTTCTGATATGAGAACGAATGCTGGACAATCGCCTCTACTTCAGTCACTTTCCCCACTGCTGTAATGGACCTTCCTGTGCCTTTTCTAAAAATATTTTCATGGTAATTGTTCTGATGAATTTTCTTATATGGCACATAGACTTTATGAATTTAAGCACAGTACTAGATTGCCAGTTAGGTCTCATCATTTTGCAGTTGAATTGGCTAGATGTATCCAGAAGTTCTTTGCTAACAGTTTCTTTTCTCACACATCTTACCTGTGGAACTCCCCTATGGCTTCTTACTTTCCAGCCAACTTTGATCTTCAAAAACTTAAATGCTATGTCAGTTGTTCTCTATTGTCTTGATTCTTCTTTATTTTTCTTGCTCTTTAATGTTTTCTTTATATTTTTTATTCTCTTCTACTCTGTAACCCCCTTGTATCTTAGTGGCTTTATTGCCTTGCTTGGGGTGAAATGATTTGAAAAAATCAAACAATAAAGAACTTATACGTAACATCAGGAAGAGATAGTTGAAATTTCTGGAACACGTAATAAGGAAAGAAGGCTTGGAAAATCTGATACTCACAGAGCAGATTGAAGGCAAGAGGGACAGAGGAAAGTAACGGGTAACATGCTTAGTGAGCTTGAGTAAATGGATGGCAGAACAAAGTTTAGGAAGCATAACAAAAAAGCAAAATTTATCAAAGGACAGGAAATTATGGAGAGCCATGATCACCAACGTTCTGAAGAAGCATAGCACATAGAAGTTGAATGTCTCATACACTTGTGCAGTCTGTTCACAAATTATAGTTAATAAGCAAATAAATTTATTTTATATTTAATTTTTATTAACAAAATTAAAAATAGTTCTCAGCTAACAGATTTGAATCTGCAATTTGTCTTGCGTACATCTAGACTGATTACTACTAAAGGTTAGAGAACCTGGTTATTTAACCCATAATGCTTATTTCCCTTTGGAATGTAAGCAGTGACAGCTCTCCACAGTTTCCTTTTTCTTTACTAGAACTTTTGCAACATGCTGATGTGGGTTGAAATCCTCGCGGTATTTAGTACTGTTGAAGTTATTGCTAGCATTTTTTTGCAAACTCTGTGTTTCATTCAATTTTGCAAACCAGTTGAAATTTGAATAAGCTGATATGTTTGGAAGAATACTTTGACAAAAATCCTACTTCGCAGTTTAATAATTTCTTTAATTTAATTTTATAGGACTTCATAGTAAACAATATTTTTTAAGAAAATTTCTTTTTTGCTTTTTTTTAACAGTGAAGAAGAAATTCTAAATATTTTTTACACTTGAGCATGCAACATATAACTGGCCATGCATAAATATTTCTTTCTGGAGCTGAATTCAAACTTTTTGAAGCATTTGGCCTTGTGACAGACAGATGGACAAATGGAAGTAACAGAATTTTATATATATAAAGATAGGTTCTTTTGTTGCTACTTTACATGAACAAGAATGTTCATATTTGCCAGTTTTTCCAATGGGAATAGGTAAATTTCAGAAATATCATTATCCTCAGCACAAAAGTAAAATTTGAAGAAAATATTAGCCATTTTTTATGCTTTCTAGGTGTAAGTAAAAGAAAATAACAGTTGCTATCCAAGGACAAAAATCGTGTTACACAGTGTAATTAACCTGAATTATTTTTTTTTTTTTTTTATAGAAGCTTATAATTAATATAGGAATATTATAATAAATACTGGATTTTATGGTGAATGCTATTTTTGTATTTCAGTTATGCAAATGAAGAGAAAATTCTTCCTGCTGTTGGCATTCAGGAACCAGTGAGGTTGAAGTTTAATCTTGGAACCAAAATTTTAGAGGCAATAGAAAATGCAAAGAAAAATGCTGACTCGTAAGTAATTCTTTTTCTTATCAGCAGAATTAAACATTCTTTTCTTTTACTTCCTTTATAAGACATCAATCATTTTTTTTAACTTATTTTGTGGAAAGCTACATTTAAAATGGTAATATTTAACAAAACTAGTTTACCCAAAATGATGACATATTTTGTTAAGTCCTTACTATTATTATTATTGTTTTCCAATCCCCTTCCACATTTTTTTTCTTTTCTAAATTTCATCAGGATACTCTTTTCTTTGCATTATTTATTCAATCAATCCACAATTGTCTTACCAAAATTATTCCACAAGGCATTGGCAGTGCAAAAGAATTGTAATTGCTTGCTTTGGTCTGGCAACATTAAAATTCAAAGAACAATGCAAATAATACGAATATATCTGATCAAAAAGTGCCTGTCCTTTCATTTGTTACATGATGCAAGAGTCTCTGAAATGTAAGGTTTTCAGCAAATACACTCAATAAAGGTCTAAGGTTTTCAGCAAATACACTCGGTAAAGGTCTAAGGTTTTCAGCAAATACACTCGGTAAAGGTCTAAGGTTTTCAGCAAATACACTCAGTAAAGGTTCAAGGTTTTCAGCAAACACTGCAAAAAGGTCTAAGGTTTTCAGCAAATACACTCGGTAAAGGTCTAAGGTTTTCAGCAAATACACTCGGTAAAGGTCTAAGGTTTTCAGCAAATACACTCGGTAAAGGTCTAAGGTTTTCAGCAAATACACTCGGTAAAGGTCTAAGGTTTTCAGCAAATACACTCGGTAAAGGTCTAAGGTTTTCAGCAAATACACTCGGTAAAGGTCTAAGGTTTTCAGCAAATACACTCGGTAAAGGTCTAAGGTTTTCAGCAAATACACTCGGTAAAGGTCTAAGGTTTTCAGCAAATACACTCGGTAAAGGTCTAAGGTTTTCAGCAAATACACTCGGTAAAGGTCTAAGGTTTTCAGCAAATACACTCGGTAAAGGTCTAAGGTTTTCAGCAAATACACTCGGTAAAGGTCTAAGGTTTTCAGCAAATACACTCGGTAAAGGTCTAAGGTTTTCAGCAAATACACTCAGTAAACTCAATTCTTTCATCCGTTTACCTCAGATTGGCTACTGTTCTGCTTGCAACCAGTTTTGCTGTTAGGTTTCTTTTATTCAGTCAATGTTATTGCTCCTTTTCTTTGAATTAGACATTCATTCTATTTGTAGCATTACACTCAAGTTTACCCAATCAGTTCTACAGAGAATTAAATTCCTTGCAATGAGGATCCTGGTATCTGGGTATCCATGATTTAGGCGAATAAACAGTCATGTGAAGGGCAACACTATTTTAGTGCCTACTCTGGTTAGGCAGGCTGTCAAGAAGGCCTCTTCTGATCAATCAGCTCATCACAGCCATCCTTAATACTTGTGTACCCCTACTCAAATACTATCACAAAGTAGACATATTATCACTGAAACTGACTAATAAATACACACGTGCACACACACACACACACACACACACACACATTCACAAAGATAAGTATTAGAAGGCAGTGTCAAAGGTCATTCAGCAAGCAAAAGAAGTAACATCAATTTCCACTTATCTGGGAAGGGGGAGAACGAAAAAACTCAGAGACAGATATTATTGATATCCATATAACATCCTCCTATCCTTGAGATGGATAGGCAAATGTGTTTCCTTCCAAGACATCTATGTTCGAGCTCCAGAAATGTAATCGGCATAAAAAGATGGGGAGAACATAAATACAAACTCGTCCTGGATATGATGATAAACTACATCTGGCAACAAGGCCTCTGATTCGAAGGTTTTGGGGAACATGGAACCACCTCTTAATTGCTGTTGCTTCAAGGTTCACCCTGACCTGGGATGGTAGCACCTGTTAGGGTCACAGCTATGGACAAATAATGAACTCCCAAACTGGGCTCAAAACACTGTGAAAGTATAAAAATACATTTTTATAGTAAAATTTCCAGCAATAGATTTTTATAGCAAAAAAAATAAATTGAGGACTCTATTTTAATAGTAAAAAAATATTCTAGCATCAGATTTTAATAGTAAAAACAAAATAATTCCAGCGCTAGATTTTAATAGTAAAAAAAAAAATTCTAGGACTAGATTTTAATAGTAAAAAAAAAAAAATAAAGCATTCTATTTTAATAGTAAAAAAATTCCAGCAATAGATTTAATAGTAAAAAAATTCTAGAACTAAATTTTAAAAGTAAAAAAAAAAAAAAAATCCATTAATAGATTTTAATAGTAAAAAATAATTCTGGGATTAATTTTAATAGTAAAGGGGAAAAAAAATCGAGCACTCTATTTTAATAGTAAAAAAAAAAAAAAAAATGAACACTTGATTTTAATAGTAAAAAAAAAACAAAAAAACCCAAAGCTCCCAAGGAAACTAAATTTCAGCATTAAACGATCCATGAGGAGTTGATATTCTGTTAAACAAACCAAACCAAATTAAACACAAACACCTAGATTATTACTTTCAATATCCCCAAACCACTCTTCAAAATAAAAAAGGGCTTACGGCAACATCACATTGAAACAACGGTTCTCATATGATGACTGAAGTTAAGCAATATTGAACCTGGTCAGTAATGAGGTTGGGTGACTGTTTGGGAATACCAGGTGCTGTAAACTTGGATGTGCAGTTGATGTAATGGATAATGGCCCGGAATTGTTAATCAGAGAGCAGAGTTTCAATTCCTGTTGGGTTAGTTATATTCTGCATAAATACCCTTGAGAAGGGTATGAATCCACCTCTTCTCCCCCAGCTATGGGTTAATTATTAAAACCTGTATGACTACAAATATTATATACCAAAAAAATAAAATTATGTTCAAAATATTTAAATTTTGGCATTAAATAACCCATAGAGGTGTTGATATGCTGCTAAACAAAAACAACCAATCAATTGATTTTGTGAAAGGCACCCCCCTCATTTCATTCTGCCAACCCACCACACAAGCTCATCAGTTAAGTGGCTCAATGCCTTCCCCTATCTCTCTTGATCTCAGTGTATTCTGTGAGTGTCAATTTTTCCAAGCCCTTCTTCCTCATTATGTTTTCAAGAAATTTCAGCTGTCTTTTCCTGTTTCTGAGTATAAGTGTTCTTTTTGTTACCATTCTCTTTCAGACTGCCTTGTTGCATACTAGCTTTGTTCATTCCATAGAATTCTCAGTATCCTTCTGTAGAACTACATTTCTGTTGTCTCCTCATCTGTGGGGAGATTGTCCAGCATTCCCTGCCATATAAAAGGATGGATATCACATAGCAATCCAACATTCTTTTCTTTGTTTCTTACAAAATTTTTTTTGTTTTTATTTTTGTTATGGCATTACACACTGCCCACAATAACCAGGCAAGTCCATGGTTGATTCCAATGGCCCAATCCTCAATCCCACCCTGTGTTTGTTTTAGATCACAAGACGGGTGAAGGTTGAGTCTCTGATTAACAATTCCGGGCCATTATCCATTACATCAACTGCACATCCAAGTTTACAGCACCTGGTATTCCCAAACAGTCACCCAATCTCAGTACTGACCAGGTTCAATATTGCTTAACTTCAGTGATCATATGAGAACCGTTGTTCCAATGTCACTGATCCAGCAGCTTGGGAGAGATGATGCCACAAGAAACAAAGTAAGAGATAGCTGTATAATGCAAAAACTTTGTCAAAGGTTCATACAATGAACATTCTACTCACTAAATTAACATGCAGATTTTCAGTACCTTCCCTCTTAATACCCCTGTGACACTATGTTTAGCCACACTTGGTAAATTGGTAGAAGGCTGAAATCTGATTTCTTTCATTCTGTGATTTCTTTGGGCTGACCCTTCAGTTGGTAGTCTGGAACAAGTTTGGAGTCTTTCTGCAGAAGTTGTGTGGGGTTTGGAAAAGTGGGTTTTGAACCAACTGGTATATTTAAAAAGGCCAGCCAGGGAGGTAGCAATTGGGTTTTTTTAATTGGAGCCATATGCAAAACCAACAAAGTTTTAAAGATTTGTGATAACTACAAAGTTGGTGTAAATCACCAAATATTGAAATGGCCTGTCACAAATTTGTTGGCATTAAATTTTTTGCCAAGATTGATCTGGAATCTGTGTATAACCAGATTAAAATTGAGAACCATTTTCAAGAAGTTATCATGATAAGCACTTGTATAGGTCTTCTAAGGTGGACACATCTGCCATTTGGAATTAAAACATCCAGCTATACATTCCAAAAGGCTATTTATGATGTCACACATGCCCACAATCACCGGGCAAGTGTGTGGTCAATTCCGATGGCCAGCCTTGGAGTTGGTAGCCCCAATCCTCAATCTCACCCTGCCCACGTTGTGTTTGTTTTAGATCACAAGGCAGGTAAAGTCTGAGTCATATACCCAATGGTGTTGATCTGGCAGCTTAGGCAAGATGACCCCACAAAGAACAAAGTAAGGGATAGCTGTGTAACAACAGCTTTATATCAAAGGTTCCTACAATGAATGTTCTATTCACTAAATTAACAATATGCAGATTTTCAGCACATACCCTCTTAATACCTCCGTGACACTATGTTTAGCCACACTCGGTAAACTGGTATAAGGCTGAAGTCTGATTTCTTCCATTCTGTGATTTCTTCAGATCGACTATTCAGTTGTAATTGAGAGTCCATTGCTTAAGATTAAGTTGACCAAAAAACAGATAGCTTCTAAGCTAGCCATCATTGGCATTTGAACCCTGGAGTAGGGAAAGAAAAGGAAACAAATATCCTTTACTTTCATTCTTTCTGGTTTTTTGTTATCAGTATATTTTCAGTCTATTAAAAAAAAATAGTGTTTTTCTTGTTTGTTTTTCACTTTATTTTGAAAGCCTTTTTCCCAATTTTCCAGTGCTTTCTTAATAGTGTCACATCTCAAGACTTTTCTGTTTTTTCGCTTGTCCAATGCAAGTTCAGTTTTTGGTGTCGCATTTTTCTTTTTATGTGCTGTGTCCTTTCAGAACTTAGGTGATCATAGCTCTCCACTTCCCCCTTATCCCTTGTGGCTCTCAATAACTTTCATGCCTCTGCCAACTCCCCCAGACCACATCCTGCCATCCACTTGCTTAAGCCCACCAGGTATGTCATGTGTTGCTTTCCCTTGTCTCTTTTTCCTTCTATTTGACCTGTGAGTATCAGATTCTCTGGGCCCTCCTTTCTCATTACGTGTCCCAGAAATTTCATCTGCCCCTTATGTAAATATAAGCTTTCTCCTTGTTTGCATCTTCTCCAAGACCTCATCATTGCTCACATGCTCACTCCATTATATCCTTAGCATCCTTCTGTAGAACCACATCTCCGCTACCTCAAGTCTCTTCTTCATCTTTGGGGAGATCATCGAACATTCACTGCTGTATGGGAGGACAGATGTCACGTAGCAGCTCAGTACTTTTTTCTTTATCACCAAAGAAATCCTCCTGTCTCACAGTACTATACCTAGCTTTTGGAATGTATCTTTGGTGTTACCAATCCATCTTTGGATCTCAGTGTTGCACATGTCGTCCTCCGTCAAAACACTTCCGAGATATTTAAACTTTTGCACCTGCTTGAACAATTTTGAAAAAAATAAAGATTATTTTTGGATGCAGTGCCTATTGTACAATTTACTGTTTTTGATTTACATTGAACTTTTGTAGCATTAAAGAGATAAGCTGCTTAAGACAATGATGAATATGTCGTACAAAAAAAAACAATATATTTCTCTTTCTGCTGGAGGAGAATATTTAACTGAGAGAGATTTGACATGATATTCTTTCTCACTGATACATTTTCTGGACCAGTTAACATTTTTTATTGATTTATATGCAGGCTGTTGTCCAAGTCTTTGTTATAGTTATCATGTTTTTGTTGTGGCGCCCTCTGGACTTCATCAGGTCCTTGTCGATCCATCCGAGTAACCATCAGCAAGAATCTTTTATTAAATACCTCACTTAATCGATGAGAGGAGATTGTTCTTCTTCTGCTGACCATATTCTTAGAACTCTTTCACATTATATATATATATATATATATATATATATATATATATATATATATATATACAGATTCATTTCTGTAGTTCCTTGCCAACAGCAAGCAGAAATATTTCATACTCCGATGATGGCCATTTCGGGCCTAAACTAGTCGAGGAATCTAAATGGAATAATAATAATAATAATAATAATAAAACGAAAGAATATTAATCTACAACCCAGTGTGTCTAATGATTTTAATTTTTAATTTTCTTATTGTTCAAAATATATATATATATATATATATATGTGTGTGTGTGCATGCATGTTTCATTGAATATGACAGATAAGGTGCTTTGATTTATTTTTTTATGCAATTACTCATGTGATCTTATCAGTTTTTTTCATTTTGTGATAAATTATGTAAAAATTTTTTCTTTCTTTTGGTGTTTTTATATAAATTTTGAAAAGAAAAAACAATTATAAAAACTAAAGCACTTATTCATTCAATGAAACATTTGCTGCCTAAATATTATTTTACATATATAATGTTTTTATATAATTCCCATAAGTATGTCCTTTGAAAAAAAAACAATTATAAGATTCAATCAACAATGTATTTTCCCTGATTATCTAATTCCTATAAAAAACTAAAAATTTCAAAGAACTTTGTTTTAACCTGTCAAAAAAAAAAAAAAGCTTTTCAAATGAAACATGCATGAAAGAAGAATAAGGTTGAGGAATTTTCTCCCAACCAAGTTCTTTTCTAAATTCTTGCTTTGTGTGGGGACACACAATGAAACATATTTTGATTCATATATTTTTTTTTTTTCCTTAAAGCAAACATAATTGCTGACAGTATATTTGAGCATTAATTGTTGCATTAGGTGGTAAGAATTCAAGGTAGATTATTCCTTGGTGATCCCATATTTTGCCCATAAGTTCCCTTCTCATAATCCCTTTACAGCCACTGTCATGCCTAACATTTCCCATAAAAGATCCATTTTTCTCTGTCCAAATTTTGAATAAAGACAAAACAAGTGACCAAATGTTACAGAACCACTTTAATTACAGATTCAATCAACAATGTATTTTCCCTGATTATCTATGACTTCCATAAACTTAACAATGTTTCTTACTAATTCCATTACTTTTGGCTTTGATTCAAAATCAAAAAAATTTAATTTTATTATTCTCTGAAATGTTTGAGTTTAAATGCATAAACATAAAATAATGTTCAGCTCCATTAGGACATTATAAAATACTCTTTAAATTTCATTCATTTAAAAAAATGTTAAAATTCGACAGAAAGCCTGATTATTTATATATATATATATTCTATATATATATATAAACAAATGGTCTATTGGATGCTTTAGAATATCATCAGTGATGTTTCTAGCGAGGTTCATTAGAGAATAAGGTGACCCAGGATGACTTGTGTAAATTTTTTCCATCTTCCAAACACCATGTGACTCTTCTTGTTTATTGTCCAATTGCAGATGACTTTTGGTTCACCAGCACAACCTGGTTGAACTGTTGATTCTTCCTTCTGCTGGCTGTTTAGGGGACACACATTGTCCTGATGAAACATCACCTTTTTGATTCACTATTCGGAGGATCCTCTGAGGTATGTATTTGCTTTTTTTTCTTCCTAGTGGAGAATATATATATTTTTAATGGACTCTCCTAATTGCTGTACAGGATCTGACATTGCTTTGATTCAGTTATTTTTGAATCTTAAGCATTAATTGATTTACAAAGGCCACATATGGCGCAAGAACTGTTAGATTGGCTGACCTTTTATTTTTCATCTTGTATGCTCAAAACATTTTTTATTATATATATATATATATATATATATATATATATGTATGTATTGTTCTTATTTAACAGACATGAGAACTTTTTCATCTTGTAATTGAATTCTTGGTGAACTCTAATGTGTGTGTGTGTGTGTGTATATATATATATATATATATATATATATATATAATTTAATTCCAGTTTCATAAAATATTATGAAAAGATTTATCTTTTTTTTCAGCTTAATTGATGATGTTGATTTAACCATATCTCAGTACACCTTATTTGGGAAAGAATTCCTTAAATCTGTGAAATTCAGTCCTGACGCCTTCATCCAAGTCGCGCTACAACTTGCCTATTACAGGTAAGCTTATTTCAAGGAAGCTGCAGTATCTCCCAACCCTGGCAGATAGAACCAAAATATTACACTTGTCTCAGAAATTCATTATCTGTTTTATGAAAATATTTGTTTTCTCTGGTATCATATTGTTAGAAAAAAAACAAAGAAACCATTGATGACTCAATCTTGGGATCCTTTGTCAGCAAGGCTGAGAATATGTCTAGTACTTCCTCTACAGGAGTGGGTAGGATTTCTCACCTCCCACTAAAGGGGTAACCTTTTTTGTAGATTCTTGCTCTCATATAAATCTGGCTACTGTTTGCTTTTGATTCAAGTACAAACCTGACTAGATGTTTATCTTTAAACTCGAGTATAAGTTCAACAAATGTTTACATTTTTAACCTGAATAGAATAAATAAAAATAACAAAGACAGATTTTGACATTAAATAACAAAACAAGAGTTGACATGCCATTAAATTAGCCAATATTCACTTTGCATATGGGGGAGAGGTTTGATCATTGGCTTTCCATCCATTGTGACCTAGGTTCAAATCTCACAGTGGTCGATTTGTCAAGAAGGTGACTTATTGATATTATCAGCCTGGGGAGGCAATCCCAGCGTGCAGCACTTTTGAAAAGTACCTTGTCAATGAAATTGGGTAGATGGAACTATTTGGGAGCCGTCAGTGGTTGAGCTTGCACAAAGTCACGAGTCATCATAACCGAAGGTTTAAGCATACTGGCCTTGTTCAGACTGTTCATCACACCAATTGATGTGCACTCTCCCAAAAACTGCAACTAAGGTTCTTCAACATAATTGCAGTATAAACCACCTCTGTGGATGTTGAACAAACACTGTTGTGCCTGAGCAGGCGTCTGCAACAGGGATTGGCTAGCTGCCCTAGTAGACAGGCATACTCAGACATGAGTGGCCATTATTATTCATTTTGCACTAATGAAATGTCCCTATACTCTGTTCAGTCATTGTTTGAAACCAAATTTAACCATTAATCTGTGAAAATGCTTGTATATAGTTGATATAGCAGGGGCTCTCAACCAGGGATAGAATTCTCCCAGAAGAAAAATCTTTTACTTTATTTTGTTTCTAATTTACAGAATTTGAAGCCCATCATGAGTGTTAAAAAAAAAATAGGTGTGACTGATTTTTAAAAATAATTTTATTTAATTTCTGGAAAAATAATAGTTCTAGTATATAAAAAATACAGTGCGAATGATTTGTTTTTATGCTAGAACAAACATATAAAATTAAGTGAATGCTCCCTCTTGCCTGGAAGTAAACAGGTAATAGTCATACCAATAGTCCAGCATATTGCTGCTGAAATATTTGGGTAAAATTAACTTTGAAATGCTAATTTGAGGTTTTTAAAATTTTTATTTTTTATATTTAGTTATTTGAATGAGTTACTTCATTTTTATTTTATTTAATTTGTTTTCTTAAAATGATTTTGATGTGTTGAACTTATTTAAAACATAACTTGGAATTATTACATTTTAAAAAAAACAACTATGTGAATAAGATTCTTTTTTCTACATTGACTTAAAGAATTTTTTCTGATTCTGAAGTTTGTTATTAAAAATTAAAACTAAGATATTTTGGCTTACAGCCATACCACATTGAAACACTGGTTCTTTTATGATCACCAAATTTAAGCAACGACAAGCCTGGTCAGATGGGTGACTGCTTAGGAATACCAGGTGCTGTAAGTTTGGAAGTGCAAGTGGTGTAATGGATAACGGCTCTGAATTGAAAATTGGAGAGCTGACTTAGAATTCCAGTTGGGTTCATTATATTCACTTACATGCAAATACACAATGGGAAAGTTATGAATCCACCTCTTCTTCCCCAGCTATGGGTTAATTAGTAGAACTTCTATCTCCAAAATTTCTTACAATCTAAAAGATTTCTGGCTTTAAATAATCTGCAAAAGGTTGATAAGCTGTAAAAAATAAATAAAAAATATTTTCAGAATTTAGAATTAAATTTGAACTTTTTTTTTTCTGTAAATTATTCAAAATTAAAATTTGTTTATTTTTAAAAGACTCAAATTCCAGAAATAGGTGATAACTTACCAGGTGTAACAGCAAAATTGTCCAATTGTTAGATTAAGCTTTGAACGATTGTATCTTAGAAATGATTAAAGATATCTTACTGGAATTCTCAGAGGTTTTTATAACACGATTAGACTACTTTAAAAAATAAGAATATATTTAGCTCTAAGTTGAAATGATGATCCCTCTTGCTGCTGTGACCTCCTGATCCAGTTTTCCTCTCTACTGTTCCCTCTTTTTTAAACCTATTCACCATTCTTGTGATGGTTCTTGAATGGATTTTGAAGATGGAAGCCAGTGTATGAATGTTGGTACCATTACTGAAGGTCTGAATGTTCTTTTTCATCTCACCATTGCTCAGCTGAGAAGACACTGGGGCTGATTTTAACTTTCTTTTGTTTCTAGCTGAATAACTCAAAAGGTTTATCAGTGATTCTTATGACAAATAGTGTCAAGATGGCTAAACGTCTTATCTGAAAACCCAGAAAAAAAAGAAACTCTATTAGTTAAGTGGCTTTTTAGATATTAAATATTTTGTGGGATGGTCAATTATGTACTAACATGATTTGGAGAATTTTGCTGTTACATCTGGTAGATTATATAAACAGAAACTTTGTAAAATGTAGATTTTTACTGATTGTATACAAAACAGACGATCAAGTGACATTACTAAAAACAAATGTTTTCATTTTCCACTCTTAGCTGTTTTCTCTTTCTATGTATAGACTATATAAAGAGCCATGTGCTACATATGAGAGTGCATCTCTTCGCCGTTTCAAATATGGACGAACAGAAACCATCCGTTCTTGTACAGTTCCATCCTACCTCTTCACATGTGCCATGGATGACAGCCGAGTGCCAGCCATAGAAAAAATCCAGTTCTTGCGCCAGGCTGTTCAAGTGCATAAAAACATTAGCAACGATGTAAGTAATTTCCTTAAATGAACAATTTGTACATGTTGACTTTTTGGCTATGTTTTCGCTGAATTTCTGGGACATTCTTTGCATTCAGACTAATGTCTTTGTTGCTTTCAGCTTTTATGCCATCCAGCCTTTATCAGGTATCTGCCAATCTGGCTATCCTTCAGGAAATTTCAAACTAAGCCCTTTATTTAATCTACAGGGATGGAATGTTCTCATTATTTACATTCAGACTAATGTCCTCATCATTTCAACCCTTGTGTTATCCAGCCTTCTTCAGGTGTCTGCCAATCTGACTATGCTTCAGGGAATTTTAAACTGAACCCTTTATTTAATTTATGGAAATAGATCTTTCCTGTTAGGACACCCCAAGGATCAATTTATATATATTATTGTTATCTTAGTAATCTTCACTTCCTATCACTACCTCATTCATCATAGCTATTTTGGCAATAGCCCTCCATTTTTTTTTTTTTATTTACATTGAATTTCACCCAAAACAAGGTCCACACTCAACACACTTTGCTTCCAAGCTTTGCTATCAACAATAGATGTGAGCAAGAGTGTTATAACTTAATGCAATAGTGTTCAAGTTCAGTCTTTGCAAATTGGCTTCACTCTGCATCCCTTAGCTCTGTTACCATAGCAACAATGCTGATACTTTTTTGATCAGACCTCATATATAGCAATTCACAGAGAAAAAAAAAATATTTGATAAAAAGTACATTTAAATACAAAAAACAGAGCAAAGATTAAAGGGAGATAACTACAGATTTGAAGTCAGAAAATTATCATTGATAACTCTCTCCTCCAATTTGCAGACTGTAGTTACTATATTCTTAATACTTGATATAATGCAAAAATATCACAATGATAAAATCAGTCATTAATTATTTATAACTATTTATAGTGTGACTCATTCTTGCTATTACAAGTAATCCATTTATTTTTGGCATATGATTTTTTTTTTTTTAAATTGTTTCTAGATCTTTGATTGTCTTTCAATCATTCTGCCTCACCTGCTATCCTCTTTTGTCACACCATTTGGGAACCACTGCTACAGAGAGATATGAGAGTGTAAACATACAAGACCATCGGCCAATCTTTCCACTGACTAGCCAATGACCACTCTATGTTGTGTCTCCGTTCTTGCACACATAGGTGTGCACCAAAAACTGGGAAGTGGCTGATGCACATTTACATGGTAATGTAGAGAGAAAAACAAAAACCACGTCGAGGAATGAGAACACAATTTTTGTTTCCTATATTCTTTGTCCTGGTAGCTAGGTTGGTGATACTTGGGACAACTTTTGCGATATTGGTCCAACAGTTAAGCTCTTCCCTCCACCCCCTGCTCATCTATGATGTGTGGCTGATAGTACAAATGAGTGTTATTGGAACTGTGTGACGGACAAGTCTGTCTGCTGCCAATTGTCTTTCAATTTTTGCAATTTTGGATTTATTTCTGTTCACAGGCAATCAGTGGTCAAGGTATTGATCGACATTTGCTTGGATTGAAGTTGATTGCTATTGAGAATGGGATGGACATCCCAAAACTCTTCATGGACACTGCTTACACAAAGAATATGCACCACAAACTATCTACGAGCCAAGTATGTTTCTTGTATTTTATTCTAACCTTTGACCTCCCAAATAAACGGGGTGGGAATGCTTATTAAATCGTCATCAATTTTATTTGACCTCTCGCTGATCTTTTTATTAAAATTCCATGACAGCATACAATGCATGTTATGAAATTTTGTTGATTTTAATTGTGTACTAGTTGCTAGATGCTGGACACCACTTGGTAAGGCCAAGCTCCAAATAAGAACGTCCTGGAACAGGTGGGAATAGCTTAGCTTTATTTTTTTATTCATTTATTTTTTTTAATCATTTTCCTTCAAATAATAAGGCAATAAAGCCACTAAGATACAAGGTGTTACTGAGTGTAAGAGAATATGAAAAAATAAAAACATTATTAGGGAGAGAGAATGATAAAAGAATAGAAGTTAAGGAGACAGAAAATAAGGATTGACATTGCATTTAAATTTTTGAATGGGAAGCAAGAATCCAAAAAAGAGTTCCACAAGCAAGAAGTGCAATAGAAGGAACTGTTAGCATAGAACTTACTGTTAGATCTTGCCATTTCAATTGTATAATGATGAGACCAAGCTGTCAATCTAGTTCAGCACTTGAATTTGTAAAGTCAAGGTACTAAAGAGGTAAGTTTATCAGAACAGTTACCATGAAAATATTTATAGAAAAAGCAGAGGGAAGATTTATGGCTGCAGTGGGAAAGTGACTGAAGCTGAGATGCCAGGTGGGGACCAATAACCTTGCAAATTCTTCTTCTGATTTTGTCAAGAATCTCTATATACATAGCAGAAGCACCAGACCAGACCAGACGTAGCAGTAATATTCTAAGCATGGATGAATGGTAGACTTATAAAGGGTTAAGAGAGATTCTGCCAATACAAATGGTCTAGAATGATACAATGAACCAACTCTTCCTAGCAGCAGACCTAGTAATTAATCCAATAATTTGCTTTCCCAAAGACATTTGCACTGGCCTTGTCATCTGCATGCTGAACTACCATTCACACGCATGCACACACACCTCTGTCTTTCTTTCTTGCTTTATATATATACATATATATATATATATATATATATATATATAATAGATCATTAATACTATATAAACAAGAACTTTTAAATATCAATTTTACACTGACTTTGAAATTTCCTGGTAAGATTTCTGTTCTTCAGTGGGAAAATAATAATTAATTGGAAATATAATTTAAAACTAAACCCCCTGAAGAACAGAAATCTTACCAGGAAACTTCAAAGTCAGTGTAAAATTGATATATGTGCATGTTTCATTGAATATGACAGACAGAGTGTTTTGATTTAGTTTTTTTTTATACAATTTCTTAGAATAAGTGGGGTCATAAATCGAATTAAATTACCTTAGCTTATCACCATCCAATGTCCAGACAGAAGAGTGTCTGTTTGCTTGTTTTTGATTTGTATCTATATAAGAACCATTTGGTATTGTTGGATTTTAAATTGGGTATTTTTTTTTTCTGGATATTGTTTTTCATTATAATCTGAGGAAGGCAAAGAGAATGTACATTCTCCAGCAAAACATGTAGTTGATAAATTTTACACTTGCTCTCATCATCTTCTCATACATACATATATATATTATTTATTTATTTTTTAGTTTTTTTATTTATTTATTTATTTTTTAGTTTTTTTATTTATTTATTTATTTTTTAGTTTTTTATTTATTTATTTTTTATTTTTTTTATTTATTTATGTTTTAGTTTTTTTTTTATTTATGTTTTAGTTTTTTTATTTATTTATTTTTTAGTTTTTTTTTATTTATTTATTTAGTTTTTAGTTTTTTTATTTATTTATTTAGTTTTTAGTTTTTTTTATTTATTTATTTAGTTTTTAGTTTTTTTTATTTATTTATTTAGTTTTTTATTTATTTTTTTATTTATTTATTTAGTTTTTTAGTTTTTTTTTTTTTATTTATTTAGTTTTTTAGTTTTTTTATTTATTTATTTAGTTTTTTTAGTTTTTTTTATTTATTTATTTAGTTTTTAGTTTTTTTTTATTTATTTAGTTTTTAGTTTTTTTTATTTATTTATTTAGTTTTTTAGTTTTTTTTTTTATTTATTTAGTTTTAGTTTTTTTATTTATTTATTTAGTTTTTAGTTTTTTTTATTTATTTATTTAGTTTTTTAGTTTTTTTTATTTATTTATTTAGTTTTTAGTTTTTTTTTATTTATTTATTTAGTTTTTTAGTTTTTTTTATTTATTTATTTAGTTTTTAGTTTTTTATTTATTTATTTTTATTTTATTTTTTCAGGTTTCAAGTAAATATGAAAGCATAATGTGTTATGGTCCTACAGCACCTGATGGTTATGGTGTGTGTTATAACCCTCAAAGTTCCGCGATCGGATTTGCTGTATCTGCCCTGGACACCAGTCCAGAAACCTGCTCCAAGAAAATGACTGCTGCCATTCACCAAAGCCTTTCAGACATGCAGAAGCTGACATTAGAATTTCAAGTGTCTAAATTATAAACGATTGACACTGTAAATGTTTTTTTGCTTAGCTATTATATTTAAGCATGACATTATTCTGTCCTTTTAATAATTGATACATTTAATGTATGAAATATGTAAGCAAATGCAGCAATTATTATAGGACCGAAGTAGTATTATATAAATAATATACTGGCTCTGTCCCATAATAGTTGGTACATTTAGTGTATGAAATATGTAGACAAATGTAACAATTATTATGGAACAGAAGTAGTATTAGATAAATAATAATAAACTACCTCTGTCTCATAATAGTTGATACATTTAATGTATGAAATATGTAGACAAATGTAACAATTATTATGGGACAGAAGCAGTATTATGTAAATAAGACTACCTCTGTCCCATAATAGTTGGTACATTTAGTATATGAAATGTGTAGGCAAATGGAACAATTATTATGGGACAGAAATAGTATTATATAAATAATGATAGACTACCTCTGTCCCATAATAGTTGATACATTTAGTGTATGAAATATGTAGGGAAACAGAACAATTTTTATAGGACAGAAGTAGTATTTTATAGATAACAATATGCTACTTCTGTTTACAGAAATTTTAACTCTGCTCTATATATATGTTAGTGAAAATTTCTCTTTTTCAGCTGTTTTTTTCTTTAAAGAGAAACTCTTTAAATATCAACTCAACACAATTTGTGAGTTTGTTGCTCCCCTACACACACACCGTTTTTTTTTTGTTTTTTTTTCCTTTACACAAATTTTAAGAGAAAAAAAAAAACAATCAAGTGATTATATTGCTGTTAACAATTCTGTCTCAGTCTTTTAAAAAAAAAAATAATAATAATCACCCGGCAGTCTTTCATTTCTTTCTTTTTCCACAATAATGAATTTTTTGCTACAATAGTGAATTTCCTTTTCTACAATAATGAATATCTTCTTTTCTACAATAATGAATATCTTCTTTTCTACAATAATGAATATCTTCTTTTCTACAATAATGAATATCTTCTTTTCTACAATAATGAATATCTTCTTTTCTACAATAATGATTTTGCTACAATAATGAATTTCTTTTTCTACAATAGTGAATTTCTTTTTCTACAATACTGAATTTCTTTCCTGCAGTAGTGAATTTCTTTTTTTTGCTATAATAGTGAAATTCTTTTTCTACAATAGTGAATTTCTTTTTTTTTACTACAATATTGAATTTCTTATTTTGCTATAATAGTAACTTTCTTATTTTGCTATAATAGTAACTTTCTTTCTTTGCTATAATAGTAACTTTCTTTTTTTGCTATAATAGTAAATTTCTTTTTTTGCTATAATAGTAAATTTCTTTTTTTGCTATAATAGTAAATTTCTTTTTTGCTATAATAAATTTTTCTACAATAATAATTTTTTTTGCTACAATAGCATATTTTTTCTTTCTACAATAACGATTTTTTCTCATTCTCTACAATAATAAATTTCTAATTGTCTTTGTTGATCATCATCTACAAAGACAGCTTTCCTGTGTTAACCATTCAACTTGTTTTAATGGATCTGGAAATTTCCAGATATAAATGCTCTGTATCCAGAAGACCTCTCATTAATTCATTTATCCTCACAACTCCAGTCTGTCATCTGCAACTTTATTTACAAATGTTATCTATTTGTTTCTTTTCTATATAACCATTTGGAAGTTTATAATTAGCCTTTAGCACTCTGCGATATTTTTAAGTATTTTATCCTCATCCATTGGCTATAAGTGGCCACAGTTAGTCATTTTCTTGTTGCCATAGTAGGATATGACAACACAAGTGTAAAATTCAACCATGATCAGAGTTGCATGCAATGGTTGTACAAATATTTTGTTTGAGAAATGAAGTCACCTATATACAAAGTGCTAAAGGTTAAAGAATTTAAATTTGTGTTTTCAAATGAATAATTCAAGTGACATTACTGATAAATCTAAAAAATCTCCCAAACTAACCAGAGATTTTTCTTGTGCCATATTTGAGGATGTTAAAAAAAATTTTTTATCTGGATCATATTTTGGTTCTAGATTATCAAGTTTGCCAGACATTAATGAATTTGCCTTTTTCAATTTTTTTTTTTTTTATCTGGAAAAGCATGATAACTCAGATTCACTCAGAGTATTGTCCTCATCTTGATTATTTTAGTCACACTGTTTTGACTACTGTAGTCTCCAACTTTCTTCAGGTGTTTGTCATATCTGGCAATCGTACAGGATTTTCACACTGAATCCTTTTTATTTAATTATTTTTTTTTTCAATCGGATTCACCCTAAGCAAGGCAGTAAAGCCACTAAGATGCAAGGAGTTACTGAGTGTCGGGGAATATAAGAAAAATAAGGAGCAAGAAAATAGAGTAATTACGAAGACAGTAGATAACGATTGATATTGCATTAATTAAATTTTAAAAGATCAAAGTTGGCTGGAAAGCATGGAGCTGAAAGAGAGTTCCGTGAACACGAAGTGCGAGAGAAAAAACTGTTAGCATAGAACTTATGGTTACATCTAACCATTTCAACTGTAAAATGATGAGACCTAGCTGCCAATCTAGTACTGCTCTTAAATTCATAAAGTCTAGGTACCAAAGAGGATAGCTCATCAGAATAATTACCATGAACATACTTGTCAGATTAAGAAACTGTTAGCATAGAACATATGGTTACATCTAACCATTTCAACTGTAAAATGAGACCTGAGTACCTTAAATTCATAAAGTCTAGGTATGAAAGAGGATCATTTACATGAAGGATATCTAGTACTACATGCTTAGAACGTTTCTGATCAAAGGTTCAAATCTCTCCAAGGGTTGATTTGTCAGGAAGGTAACTTCTTGATGTTATCAATCTGAGGGAGGCAATCCCAGCCTGCGGCACATTTGGAAAGTGCCTGAAAACCATATCACAGGTTAACCCAAGCCTTGTGGGTAAAATTGGGTAGACGGAACCCTCAGGAGCTGTCAGTGGTTGTGCTAGCATGAAGTCACAAGTCATCGTGACTGAGAGTATGGGATGCTGGTCTTTTTCAGACTATTGATCATGCTTTGTGCTCTCTCCCAGAAACTGTAACTAAGGTCTGCTCAGCATAGTTGCAGTATAAACCACAGGTGGGCTCTGTGGGTGTTGACCAAACAAATATATCTGAGCATGCGTCTACAATGGGGATTAGCTGGCCACCCTAGCAGACTGGCATCCTTGGATACGAGTGGCTGTGCCATTTATATTTAGAGTAGTGATTTTCCAAGCGTAGCTCAGATGTGGCACAAGGCCAAAAGTATGGGGCACCCAGTGAGGATCGAACTCACTACTCAGTCGTAATAGTTCTATCAAGACAAGCTTGCTAACCATTACACCACCTCGAGGTGCCCACTTTATATTTAGAGTATATATGACTTCTTTGACACTGTGATTGATCTCACAACTTCTGGGTAACTAGATCCACTAAGCCAATGGTTTTATTCACTTGGTATTGTGTCCTTGAAACACCTGAAGAAGGTTGGCCAAAATATTGTGTTTATTGAAAAAAATTAGATTTCATCAGACTAGAATCCTGAGTTTGGTTGTTGTAGCAACTAAGATAAGGATGCAGCTCCATTTAAATAGACTAATGTCTCATAGATCAGTATTATATCATATCAGACATTTCTCAAGCCACAGAATTTGTTAGAATTGAAAAATATGGATTTGTTTCTTGTTTTTACTTGCGTTATTTGGACTGTTATCCTCATTGCCATATTCACAATGTTTCAGCCGTTGTACACTCTTCAGGAGATTAGAAATTTGAAGCCAAACCCTTTATTTTGTCCCCCCCCCGGGTAGATTGTTCTAGTTCCACGTGCCATGCCTCTTCCAGATGTATCAGTTATTTCCCTTTAACTCAACTCTCCAAGTTTTTGTTTCACCACTGCAGTGGCCTGGTATTGAACTAGCAACTCTTTGGTCTCGTCACTCGATCTAACCAACATCTTTATCGTCTAAATTTGTCTAAATGTCCTTGAGGACATCTGTGCATGAATTTTTGGGACTTATAAACCTAATGTCTCAGCATCATTTTTTTACCAGAGCAATTTTTTCTGTTATCATTATTGCATTTTTTTCCCAGAGCTTATATTGCAATTTTTGTTGTTATTCATTGTTTTTCTCTAGCACTCCTTATTACTTGTTTCACATATTTTATTCATTTCTTTCTTGGTCAGCTCAGGAGAGTTTTATGGCCTATGTGCTGATTCTTGAGTTTTGACCAAAATAAAGGATTTGGTTCAGAATTCAAATCACCTGAAGAAGGCTGGAGCATACAACCGCCAAAATGTTGTGAATATGGCAATGAAGATGAGGATAACAGTCTGAATAATGTAATAATGCAAGTAAGCATAATAATACCTCATCACAGATATAGACAGATATTGTTTTTTTGTTTATTTTTTTTTTTTTTTTTTTTTTATCACTTTAGAAGGGATGGGGGCCCTGTTCATAATATAAATATGCTGTTTTTACTGCATGTTGAGTATCCTTTATCTGAAAACCTCCAAAATCCGAAAATTTTTCAGGTGCCGACATGACTTGCCACAAATGGAAAATTTCAGAAAGCACTGGGAAGATTCCTAGGTGATGTGCAGCTGTTAGGTTTGACCTCATCTGTCCTGGGTGAGGATTCTTCAGCCCAGCTACATAGCCTATGTTGGTACAGTTTTTTGTTAGTGATTGTCACAGCAACACTTTCATTTATGGATTACTTATCGGGTGTTTTGTACTCTGTAAAGATATTATTCAAAATGTCAAAAAGTCCCGAGTTTATATATTTTTTGTAAGTAGTGATCATGCGTTTTTGCACACATACAGAAAGTACAAAACGTTATTTTTATGTGAAATCTTAATTTCACCACTTAAAAATCTGTGTGAGCATTACATGACAAACATCATTACCTGTATCTGTATGTACACAAAATATATTAAATTTTATATAAAACTACTTTCAGGGTATGTTATCTATATAAAACTACCTTCAGA